AAATGTTTGATTAGATTAGAAAGTGCCTTCCCATTCTTATTTTTCATTGATAAGCAAATTATAAATTACGAAATAATGTCATATGTAGATATACCCCATAATCATATCTATTCAAAATGTATTATCTTTTTGCTGTCATATCTGGGAATCCAAGGGATTACGTATAGAGTAGCAACTACTTTTGATAAGTTTTACGTAAACAAATTAATTGGTTGGAGTAGTCATAGTCGCCTGATGGCGAGACATGGACTATCTTGACACCCACACACGCGTCCCTGGTACAATAGTACTGATAAGAAATGAGAGAGAATAACAAGTCCAAGTAGAAGTCAAAACCATCATAAACTTGGACTGGAAATGAGGCGATACTAGCAACTAGATTGCATGGGAAGTGTCATTACAGATAGGCAGAGGAAATCAACCGACTCCATTCTATATATTCTATATAGTGTCTTGGTTGTTCAGATTGCTTATCACAAAGGGAAGTGATTGTGTAAAGTATTTCGACACCAAAATAATTAAGAAATCGAGTGTTTCGCTGGGAGATACAATTGAAAAAAAAAGAGTAGTTCTATTACATTTTCAATACAGCTTTAGCTTAACAAATTGGTTTCTGTTTAATTTCAATAATTTACTCATTAAATTAAATGTTTCTTTAAGTATTGCTTTCATTAATAGGCCATATTCATCATTACATTTTTAAACAGAAGAATCCAATTAGTCAGCAATTTTTCACATTATTACTGTTTCGGATTGCTCAACTTTTCCCTTCTCCCTTAACTCTGAAACTTGATTGCCTTATGAGTGTTGAAATATATATACAAAGTTCAATGAACCCCCAAGTTCTCAAACTTAACCCTTCACTTTAACCCTCTTTAGCCTCATATCGTGTTGTGTTGTAATATAAAAAGTTTTGCTTAATTATTTATGTACAAGTTTTGCAACAATTTCAAGTAATTACGTTCCTAAGCTCTAATATAAGTTTATGAATATTTAACAAATTTTTGAATAGTAAAAATTTTAATTACAATTTTGTTAAGTGTGATCGCCTCCCCTAGTCACTGACAAATTGTGTAAATATTTGAGCAAATGTTGGCATGAAAATTACAAATATAGAAATGACTATGACTGGCCACTGTCTGAGTCGAACTAGCAGCTTGTATACTTTATATATATATACACATATATGTACGATCTATTGTTATATGCGGGATATGAAAGTGTAAATTATAATTCATTTTCTAAACCAAAGCCGTAGACTTGTATAGTCACGCCCCACTGACCTGACCAACTAACGATTGAGTCATAATTTTTGCCAAGAAAACCTTTTTAGGGAAACCTGATTCCGCTTTGTTGACTCTGGTCAAATAAATAAACTTCAGTTCGGTGAAAATATATATTTATATACTACGCTTCACGAATTTCTGATATATTTATAAGAAACTACATCTAACGCCAACTTTGAGTTACTTTTGATGGGTTAATTAAAGGATAGTTGTATATCTATAGGTTTTTGAAATATTACTAAGCTTATCACAATTAATACATTTATTTGGGAACTTTAAAATGAGATCCTATTTTTATTAACATGATTATTTTTTATGTTTCATATAGCTTTGCTTGGAAACAGTTTAAAAATAACTTAAAGTTTTCAAAAACCATTTCTAAGTAAAATTTTATTCAGATTGCAGTCACTGAGTACTCAAAAGTTAAGATAATCACTGAATGTTTTCCCAGAAATAAATATTTACAACCCTTCAGCGACACTCAAATGCTCTTGAAAATAATTTCCAAAAATGTAATCATAAAAGTGAACTATAAACCCAAAAATAAAATAAACTTTTCAGCTATTAAAATATTTTAAAAACTGATATTTCAAGCAATGAGATCATTTTGGGCTCTCAAAGTTATCCAATATAAAATATAAATATATAAATTTCGGTTATTATTGATATTCTATGGGAGTAACAAGTGAAAACGAATCATGATTTAATCATTGTTAAATATGCATATATGTATATATATTCACGATCAGCAACAAAGGCAGGCACACTGACAATTATTTATAATGAAGACTGAGGGATGTGTCATTCTGTTCACTATCTTGTTCTCTTTGTTCGGAAAGTTTTTCCCTCGAGAGTAACATCGTGTACGAGTGTGTAACTTGTGTATATATACGAGTTTATATTTCTAGAACGTTTAATAATTAATTGCAATTGCTGTACGAGGCTTGTCTAGCCACAAAAAACACACAAAAATAGTGTAAGTGTTTTTGTGCAAATTGCAGTTGCAATTAACTGCAGGAAGGAATTTGCCAGTGGTGTAAGAGGGGGACTCTATCTAATACAGCTGCAATTACTCGAAATAATAACAATTATCTTGGTTCAAGAAAATTACTAATTACCGAATGCACTTCCTAATGGCATAAATAAATTAATTACAACTTCCTTTCATTGTTCTAGCCCTTAAATCGGGGTTTTCCGTGCACTAAAAGAGTACCCCCGTTTTTTTTTTACTGCTCAAAAACCCATTGAAACTCATCGCGTGTCGATTTAAACGCCTCCCACAATGAATTCTCCATGAAGTCGTAAACGTCTATATATACAACAAAATAAAATATATATAGGGTATATCGGGATTATTGGGACGCATTGCACACACAGCTGATTCACTTTACTAGCCGGCAACAGTTTCAAACTAAATAATTAATTTATTGATTAGCCAGACAAATTGACGGCGTTACTAGAGACGAGACGAGGGCCACCAGTTGCTCCTTGTATATATTTTTTTATGCGTTCACATTTCACTCGATTTGTTAATATTTTATTTATAGGAAACGTAAGCGTTGCCATTCAAACAACTCATAACAGAAGGGGTAAACATAAAAAACGTAAACGTAAAAAATACAGAAACCAGCTGGGCAAAAAGTTGACCCTGGTCTGAGTTAGCCTCAAAATAAAGCGGAATCAGGTGGGTCAAATTCCATAAATTCATATGCTTGAAATATATTTTTAATATCAAAGTGTGTTCCCAATAAACAATAACAAACGTTTCAATCATTTTCAAAGGCAATACATTCAATTTAATATTTGTTTATTTGAGCGCTAAAAGCAGTTTCATCTGGTTTCAATGGCATTGTGACATTTTGAAAGATATTTTGCACATTCACTCAAATTGAATTAAAAATTTATTTCATTAAACTTGATTCATATCAGTCTCCCCCTCCCTCTAAATGATGAATCAACTTTTTATGACGGACAAAACATTTCCATAGTCATAAGGAATTACTGTTCAAAATTCATTTAATTTGGCACAAATTAATAACATTACATTATCAATTTTAACAACTGAAACTTTAAAAGTATCTAAAAACAAACCTTGAAATATTAAACAAAGAACCATGAAAAATCAGGCGTTGTTTATGAAATTAGCATCATGACTCTAGTAACTAACATCATTGGTTGCGGTTATAAAAAAAAAACATTTAGATTGTGTGTTATCAATCATATATTCCACTGAAAACATCAGTTCCCCGGGAATCATTTTCCCAATCAGCATGAGAGCTGATAAATCTTCTCATTAATTGTCATAAAACCATTGAATTAAAATTTATTTCATTAAACTTGATTCATATCAGTCTCCCCCTCCCTCTAAATGATGAATCAACTTTTTATGACGGACAAAACATTTCCATAGTCATAGGAATTACTGTTCAAAATTCATTTAATTTGGCACAAATTAATAACATTACATTATCAATTTTAACAACTGAAACTTTAAAAGTATCTAAAAAACAAACCTTGAAATATTAAACAAAGAACCATGAAAAATCAGGCGTTGTTTATGAAATTAGCATCATGACTCTAGTAACTAACATCATTGGTTGCGGTTAAAAAAAAAAAACATTTAGATTGTGTTATCATCATCATATATTCCACTGAAAACATCAGTTCGATATTTTCCATCAGCATGAAGCTGATAAATTTCTCATAATGTAAAACAAGGAAAATACCGATTATCGATGACATGTGCCCAAATATCATATCGCAGGCCATGCAGTAAAGATAAAACCCTCCCAGTCCAACAGTCCTTGAACGATTTCCAACGCGATATATCTACGAAATCGGCCAGAAATCATGACAAAGCTATACCCAGACAGGGGTGGTCTCAAGAGTGGCAGCCGTAAAATAAAGTCGCGACAGGCCACGAGAGATTCCGGGCGATAAGCCCAGTTTGTATAACCCCCCTTTTAGATAGCCGAGATACGAGGTGTTTGCAGAGAGGGTTTAGTCATCTCGCCAGGTAAGAATGTGCGAGTGAGAGTATTGCAGGTATTTCAGATGTAACGGTGGTATTTCTTAACAATATATATGTATTTTACGTTTTACTATTTAGGTACATTTAACAGTTTTGATTTTAAAAGAGTAGAATATATATTTGTAAACCTAATTAAAAGTCTTACAAGAAATAGAAAATCTGAAATGTATAATACTTTCATAGCTTTGTATAGACACATTTGGTTGATGAAAAAACAACTTTAAATTATATCATGAAAGCTCATCTTTCTAAGATCTTTAAAATCAAAGAGAACGAAATATCTACAATATGTTTATGTTCTTTAATGATTGATTTATTTGTTCAAGGAATTTGAAGCTAAACTGTATTATTTTTAGCTGAATTGCATATTGGAATGGCCAAGGCATCAAAGAAAAGTATACTAAATCTGCACTTTCCTAATTTAAACATTAAAGTATAAGAATAAATGGCTATTTAGACAAAAATAATAATACCCTGCAAGGCAAATAATCTAATATAATATTTAGAATCTATTTAATATACATATGTATGTATAATTTCATATTAAAATTTTTGACTACATTTTGTAAGAGCAATATTCCTTTTTTTTGAGGATTTTCAATAAAATAAAATCTAGTCAATCTCTGCCTTAACCTTCTAATGTTGTATATTTAATATATATTAATTAAAAGTAAGGATCTAGACTACCAGAAGAGTATCCTCAGTGAGTTGGCCACCACAGGGCTAGACACACATATAGCGAGAATCCATCCGCATCCTGCGTCTTCTTGATCTCTATATATTGCGTACATAGGGGATGACGCCCCCGATTACCATGGCAGAGGCGGCGGCCCAGCCGACCACATGGCCACGGTGAGGCCCATTTCATCGTTGATGATCCAATCCATGTTGATTTATTTATTTGAACCTTTTAACTATATAAATTGGTGTATGTAGTTTAGTTTCAAATTGTTATTAGTTGTGCTGACGGATATTTTGTTTTATTTATATTAATTAATTTGTATTTATTTGTTGACTAGTTGATGGTTGTTAAGAAGCCGGCGTTTTGGAAGTTGTCGTGTTTTGCATTATTTTATTTCGAACAGTGTACGCAGGAAGGTAAAGAAGAGGAAGTCAGCTGTGTGTTGTATTGTTATTCTTGTTGTGTCGCTCTTGGCTCGCGTTGATCTTTTTCTTTTGCACACGCACACACACTTGAGAGGCCGCACACCCACAATCGCACACACACAGAGACACACAGGTAGACGTGCGTTAGATATTTATTTTTCTCTCTCACTTTTTCTTTTATTTTCGTATGTTTTTGCGATTTTTTGTTGTTTTCTTTTTTGCTTTCCGCGTTTTGTATTGAATTTTCCCCGAAAAACGCGCGCGCCCCTCTTGTATTTTTTTTGTGTTGCCTTTCTATGAATTGTCAGCAATTTTCCTGCGCACACTTTTCTGGCAGCGGAAAACTCGGAACAAGAAAAACGGTGCTATCACAATTCGCTCCATTTCCACGCAAACACAACAACATCACTTGCATTTCATTTGTTCTCTGCATTTCTTCGCTGCCTTTTAATTGAGTTAAATTTGTTGTTGTCGGATCCGGAAATTTTACGAAATACTATAATTCGGTCGCTAATTGTTTTCGTTCGCCGCGCTGTCTGCGTCTGCTTTCCGCCCGTCTTCCGGCGCCGTTCCCTGATGAGCGTTTTCCTTTATCTCGCCTGTGTTTGCATATTTTCTGCGAGTTTTGAAGGGAAAACCGTCCGCGGATCAACCGCTCGCAAGAAAAATTTTGTTTGTTTGTTGTTGCAATTGCTTTTACTTGAGTGTAACCGTTTATTAGTCTGGCATTTATCCGTAAAGAATGTATTTTTCTTGCGACAGCTGGTCACACTTACGTGCGCGGGAATGTAAAGTAAATGTAAAATACTAAAACTGAAGTAAAGAAATAACGTTTTAAAATTAAAAAAGGAGTTTTTATAAAATATATATAGTTATGTTGAAAATAAATTAAACTGTTTAATTCTTGTTTTGTCTTCCTTTATTATACAAAAACTGTATAAGTCGCATTTACCACAGTAAAAACTGAAGAATTTTGAAATAAAATTTAATTTTTATAAAATATTATTTATATATTTAGTTGTGTGAAAATAAATTAAATTGAAATAAACTGTTTCAATTCTTGTTTCGTCTTCTTTATTATACAAAAACTGTACAAGTCGCATTTATCACAGTGAAAACTGAAGAATTTTGAAATGAAATAAATTTAACTAAGCAAAAATAGAGATGGTAACTGGGTGAGTTTGCTTAAAACTATAACTATACAATATTGATTAGTTCTTCTTTCTTCTTGTCGGGCTGAGCCAAGCCTTGGGATTCCTGGTATTGGCGGACGATCTGTTCCTGGATATCGGAAGGCAGGCGAGTACCGAGAATACTCCATGGTGAACTCTCCCTTGCCTTGGGTACTCGATCTAAAAAACATAAACAAACAGCATTTAATATAATTAAAATAAGAGCACTAGTTTATCCTCTTACCTCAGCTCTCCGGCATAGCCAAACATATCATTGAGAGGAACCTCAGCATAGACTGTGAACCAGCCTTCGGTTCCCTCCGTTCCGGTGATAATACCATGCCTCTTGCTCAGGTGACCCATCACAGCGCCTTGGAACTCCTCTGGAGCAGTGACTTCCACCAGCATAATGGGTTCCAAGATCTGCCAACTGCCATTTTGGAAGACTTCCTTGATGGCACCGTGAGCGGCCAACATGAAGGCCAATTCACTGGAGTCCACAATGTGGTGACCACCATCCTGGAGGCGGAACCGAATGCCAGATAGCTGTGACCCGACAGCATTCCCTTCTCAGCCATTTCGCGGTAACCTTAAGAACAAAATATAATTAGTTAAGTATAGTAAATTATTCAATTGTAAATTAGTTCTCACCCTTTTCAACACCAGGAACAAATTGTTTTGGCACATTTGTGCCACAGTTTCGTCGACGAATTCCAGGAGGTATTTTGATTAGGCGGCAGTGGTTCCATGACTCCAATAATCCTGGCATATTGACCCGATCCTCCAGACTGTTTCTTGTGCAGGTAATCGAATTCGCAGGGCCCAACTAGCGTCTCCCTAAATGCCACCTTAGGCTTACCCAGCGTCACTGGGCAACCGTATTCCCTCTCCATACGCTGGGCATAGATTTCTAAATGCAATTCACCCATTCCTGAGACGAGGGTTTCCTTTACATCGTTGTCGAAAAGAAGTGGAAGGTGGGATCCTCTTTGGTGAATCTAGCTATGGCCTTTGAGAAGTTATCTCTATCCTTGGAGTTGTTCGGTTTTATGGCCATTGAAACTACAGGTTCGGGTACGAAAATTGATTCCATAGCCAGGTTGTCCTTGGGATTGGTGGTGAAGGTGTCACCGGAGGCGCAATCTACTCCAAACAGGGCAAAAATATCGCCGGCGTACACTTCGTTGACATCCTCCATTTGGTTCGAGTGAAGACGGACTAGACGAGCGATTCGAACCTTCTTGTTGGTGCGCGCATTGAAGATGTTGTCACCCTTCCGGAGCACACCCTGGTAGCACCTGAGGTAGGTCAGTTGGCCAAAGCGTCCAGCTTCCAGTTTGAAGGCCAAGCCCACAAACGAGTCTTTGCCATCACGAGCTGGGTTCAAGACTATTTTCTCAGCTTCTTGTCCCTCCTTTTCGATGAAGCCCAGATTCTCAACTTCACCGGGATGGGGCAGGTAATCGAGTACAGCATCTAGCAGAGGCTGAACGCCCTTATTTTTAAGGGCAGTTCCCACCAACACTGGCGTGAAGGTCCTTTTGATGCAGGTTCGCCGCAAGGCAGCCTTCATGTCATCCTCCGTGAAGGGTTTCTCCTCCAGGAAGAACTCTCCAAAGGTGTCATCGGCATTGGAGAGATGTTCAATGAGTTCCTGCCTCCTTTCCTGGCTCTCCACTCGCATATCCTGCGGTATTTCATCCAGCCTCACATTCATTCCATGCTCGCCCTCGAAATATATTGCACGTTCCCGAACCAGATCCACAATTCCTTTGCAATTGCTCTCCACACCGATGGGCAGCTGGATAAATGCAGCATTGTGGTTCATTTTGGACCTCATTTGGGACAGGACTCTGTAGGGATTCGAGCCCAGGCGATCCAGTTTGTTGATGAAGGCCAGACACGGGACATTGTATCGCTTCATCTGCCGGTTGACGGTCAGAGTTTGGCTCTGAACTCCACCGACGGCACAAAGAACCAGCACAGCACCGTCCAGAACACGAAGAGCACGCTCCACTTCCACGGTGAAGTCCACATGTCCCGGTGTATCAATGATATTGATATTGGTGTCCTTCCACAGGGTGTAGGTGGCAGCCGACTGGATGGTGATGCCGCGCTGCCTCTCCAGCTCCATGCTGTCCATAGTGGCTCCTACATTGTCCTTTCCACGCACCTCGTGCATCTCAGCAATCCTTCCCGTGTAGAACAGTATCCGCTCCGTCAGTGTCGTCTTACCGCTGTCTATATGCGCCGATATTCCTATATTCCGGATCTTCTCGATCGGTTTATGCTCCGAGAACTTGGCATGCGAACTGTAGCCGGCCTGCAAGGTAATAATTATATCAATATTATTTGCTTTTCTAACAATTACATAACGCACAGTTGGTTTTTGTCTCGTTTTAATTTATCCAACTTACTTTGCCAAGAGTTTCCAATGCTCTTACTCGCAGGGCATTGTTCCCGGTCAGCAGTCGTGTAATTAGCGACATCCTGGCTAGTTTTTAATTAATAAATCGGGATTTAAATAAAAAACACGCGCACGAGGGACACAGCCACCAAACCAGTGTGACCAAGACGGAGACCGCCAAAATATACCAACGAGTTGCTTCAAAAATATACTGAAAATAAGTTTCGTTGAAATTTAATTTAAATTTATACACCTAAACATTTTATATTTACAGTTTTACATTCACCGTTTTGCATTTTCCTATGCTTTTAACTTTCGTTTGTGTGGCAGCTATATGGTATTCATCAGATTCGTACGATGTTGCGGGAACGCAGAAGTATTGGAAAAACATCGATGTTGCCCCGCTAAGCATCGATGTTGCCGATGTTTCAAAAACATCGATGTCATCGATGTTCGCATAGATGTTTCTCAACCTGTGCTCAGAAATGTGTTGTGTTACAAGAGTTGCAAGTCATTGTTTATTAGTGCTCAAAATAAGTAACTGATCATACATACACTGCGCGTCATCAGATTAGCGCCCCTTGAACATTCTCGGGTAATGTCCAATATTATCCAAACTATCAAGGCTAAAGCTATAAAACTTTTTTTGACGATACTTTTAATAATATTCTTCAAAATAAGATAAGGTACATAATGATAAGTATAACAATAATATTTTATTTATTTGAAAAGAAAATGTACACCAAAATATGAATTTAATTTTGCGTCATCAGATTAGCGCCTGTAAATTCAAATTTAGTTATTTCGCGTAATTTTTGGCGTACAGTTGTGAAATTTGTTGTGCTGATTAATTGAATAATTGTTTATAAACTAAGAATCAAAATGGGTAAAGGAACTGTCCTATCTTTAGAAGAAAAATCTAAGATCGAAGCCTTTAGTGAAAGTGGCTTATCTTTACATAAAATTGCTGAAAAAATGGGAAGGCATCGAAAAACTATAGCCAGTTTTCTTTAAAATAAACAAGGCTATGGTAAAAATATGAAAGGCGGTAACAACAGAGTTCTTTCCAAAGCGTCTGCTTTCGGTCTATAGTTAGACATGCGTCTAATTCACACGACTCTTCTACCAAAATTAAAAAAAAAAGCGGTGTGGAAGCTAGCAAGTCCACGGTATTACGAGTCATAAAAAAAGCAGAACACTT